TGTGTGTGTGTGTGTGTGTTTTAAACCCTTTAAAAGGTCATTCTGATAAAACGGTTTTTCTTTTCACGACCATCACTGGCAGGATCATCTTTGAGAGCGCAGGATAAAGTCTGACTATATTTGACAAAAGTCGCTTTATCTCAGTAATTTTCTGTTATCCGGGCTGTCAAGCCATTGATTGTGTTTTGATTAAATGGTTGAGATCACTGTTAGTGGAAACAAAGGGCATTTTTTACAGGGGTGGGGGGGTTGGGTTGTTTTTTTTTGTTTTTTTTAGAGAGAGAGAGAGAGAGAGAGAGAGAGAGAGAGAGAGAGAGAGAGAGAAGGGGGGATTGAAAGAGACATGGCGAGAGAGGAGATAAGGCTGAAGGAGAGAGACGGAGACAAGACAGACAGACAGACAGGCAAACATAGAGAGAGAGAGAAAGAGAGACAAAACAGAGGGAGTGAGACAGAAACAGACAGACAGAGATAGACAACAGATAGAGAAAGGGAGAGAGAGAGAGAGAAAAACAGCCCGACGGAGATATAGTACAGCAGAGAGAGAGAGAGAGAGAGAGAGAGAGAGAAACAGCCAGACGGAGATATAGTACAGCAGAGAGAGAGAGAGAGAGAGAGAGAGAGAGCGAGTCTTAGGCAACAGGCAACGTTACTCACCCACAAGCTTCCAGATCCATTACCAAGCTTGTCGAAACCATTATAATTGGAGAGAATTTTTCAAAAGCCTAAGTATTTCAATAATAAATCCTATGAGGTACTTGAATTATTTTGTTCAGGCCGGTGCCATGGTGTGGTATGTTCCTTCTTTCCTGTCAACCATCTGTCGTCCATATCTCTCCTACTTGTTTGTTTCTCAATAGACTCTTAAGCAAACCTCTTATCTTTGGCACTAATTACTTCTTTGACTATGATCTAATTGTGTTGCAAGCGCCATAAAATTCATTTGTTTGGGTTGATGATGTTTGTGGTTGTATTGTTTTCCACACATATAAATGCATAATGAAATGTCTTTTCCTCCACACTCACCCCAATCCACCTCTTCAACCTCTCCCCCCACCCCCAAATTAAAACAACAACAATAACAACAACTTTAACAAACATAACAAAACAATAACAACTACAACAAACAAAACAAAACAAAAACAACAATAAAAACAACTACAACTCCCCCCTGAAACCCTTTCCAAAAACAAAACAACAATAACAACAACTTTAACAAACAAAACAACAACAACAATTACTTTAACAAACAAACAAAACAAAACCAACCCACCCACCCACCAGGACCTGGGCCCCCCCATGGTGGGCGACCCATTCTACGAGTCCCAGGAGAACCACAACCTGATCGGCGTGGCCAACATCTTCCTGGAGTGTCTCTTCCACGACGTCAAGCTGGACTACCACGTGCCCATCATCAGCCAGCAGGGAGAGGTGAGCGGACACTCTAACTCTAACTCTATCGCCGACTCGACCGTTTCGGCCACTCTGACTATATTCGACTGTTTGAGTCACTTTTTTTTAAAAACAGCTACTTGTCAAATCGTTTTGTTGTTCTGCTTGTTTAAATGTATGAATGGTGCCTTTTTCTGATTGTTTTTCTGTTTTGTTTGGGTTGGGTTTGTTTTGGGGTTTTTGTGTGTGTGTGTTTTGGGGGGGGGGGTTTGTTTTTGTGTGTGTGTGTGTGTGTGTGTGTGTGTGTGTGTGTGTGTGTGTATGTGTGCGTGTTATGGGTGGGGGTGGGGGTGGTTAATAGGCTAATATTCTTATGGAGTGTCTCGTCCACGACGTCAAGCTCGTCTACCACGTGCCCATCATCAGCCAGCAGGGAGAGGTGAGCGGGCACTCTTAACTATTCGACTGTTTGGGTCACTTTAAAGAACAAAAAAGGCCAGGCGGACACTCTAATTCCTCCGCCAACTCGACCATTTGGGTCATTATTTTTAAAAACCCAGCAACTTGTCATGTGTTGTTGTTGTTATTCTGTTGGGGTTTTTTTTAATGTATGAATGGTGCCTTTTTCTGATTGTTTTTTCTGTTTTGTTTATGTTGGGTTTGTTTTGGGTTTTGTGTGTGTGTGTGAGTGTTTTTTTGTTGTTTTTTTTGGGTGGGGGTTCCTTTTTACTGGG